TTTTTACCTATTAGGGCTCGGGTATTCTACAGCTTGCAGGGCTGACGGAGCAGCCATATTAGCGCTCAGCCAATCATTGGCTTGGAAAAAAGTACCGCGTGAGTAAGCCGTAAAAAAGTTAAATCGGCAGCAAAATATTAAAAGAAATAAGGGATAAAAAAGCAAATAAAATGACAAAACTATTTACTAAATATCTTCACTTTTACTCCACAAAAAAATTACAAAAAAAATTTTCAAAAGAAAATGAAGCACGTTACAGTGAAAAAAAATTGTTAAAAATACAAAAATTGAAACTTACAAAGCCAAAGAAAAACTTGTCAAGACAAACGACGAACTAAGCAACGAATAGCAGAACAATTTAAAAAAAAAATTATTTAAAGCTAAATTCAAATTATATAGTTTAAAGACAGATCCTATTTAAGAAGAACGAATTGGGCGAGGCGATGCGATGCAAGTAAAACACACATAGTACTGAAATGACCGGCGTGCAAGCATCGGTGACAGGGATGGTAAGGTTGAAGAGACCAAAGAATAGTTGCAAGTGTGTGCGTGCGATGACGAGTTGCATGCAAGGCAGGAGGAGGGTGTGGCAGTAGGTGTGTTGAGAGGCGAGTGTGAAAGAGGTGAAATTGCCGAGCTTATTGAGAAGGGAGTGGGTAGGAAGAAGAGGGCGAGTGACGACGTATCTCCTCGGAGATACATATACTAAAATTGGAACGATACAGAGAAGATTAGCATGGCCCCTGCGCAAGGATGACACGCAAAATCGTGAAGCGTTCCATATTTTTCAGCCACTCTGGCAGGCTGGCTGGCTGGCTAGCTGGCTTCGTTGCTCACTCGCCCTCCTTCTCCCCCAACGCTCACCTCAACCTCTCTCCCTACCTACCTGCCTCCCTCTCACACCACCACCCCTCATCACAGCGGCGCTGCTCCGTGCCACGCGTACACCCACCTGCCCAACCCACGTCGTAGGTACCGTGCCACGTGCTATCACCGCGCCACGCACACCCCACCTGCATTTACGCCTTCAATGGCGTGCGATTCCCATGCAGTTCCACGCAATCGTCGTCGTCGTCGTCGTCGTCGTCGTAGTAGTCGTAGGTGACGAATTCGCAGCTGCCGACGCCGACGCCGCCGCCACCGCCACCGCCGTCGCCATGTCAGCGAGCAGCAGCATGTGCATGCTACTCCACGTGTTACCACCTTGGGAGAGTGCGCAAGGCATACAATTACACCTCATGATCGCGTGCAACGCAGCCACGTATTGGCACATCGCCAAGTTCACTTCGCCGCATAACCCCCTCGATCCAACACTGCTCTCCCCCCCTCCAACACTCTCTGTCCCCCTCTATCGCCTCATCGCCTCCTCGCCGTCCCCAACCACCGCAAATGTTAATTTCACCCACTCACACCCACTTAAATAAATGCAAAACTTTAAACATTGATGAGGCCGATATTGTTGAATTACTTATTGATAAATCACCATTGACCTCTGAAAACCTCACCGGCTGACATTTCGACTGCATTTCACCATTCACACCAACGTGGATCCACTTTTTTGGATTCAACAAGTATTGACACGATAGGACACAATGGAAATAATAAAGCAACCATTTCTCTCGTCAACCATCCTTTTTGTTGTTGCACACGATGTTTTTTGTGTGTCAGCAAAACAAGACAAATAAGCACCAAGCAAGGGAGTGGAAATGCCGAATCTGTAGAAAAAGCGGAGCGGTGTTTTTTTGTGAGTCTGGGAGTAGAATTGCGGAGGGATAACTATGGACGAGGTTTAGCCATAACCGTCCAGTGGCTTGTGGTCTAACACCACCTCACGACCCTCTAGTTAACAGCCCGTAACAACCCGAAAAGTGTGGGAAAAGGGGCGACAGAGGACACGACCGTTTATTAGCGTCACGCCAAGTGTCTTAGTGTGTGAATGCGTGAACGGATGACAGGCGCCTGATAACAGTAACCAATGGAAAGGAGATGAGTCATTGTCACCGTCAGGTAAGTAACCAGGGCCCGCTCATCCGCCCACCCAACTCAATGCTGAAATCCAAGCAAATCGTTGAAATTTGGCCATTTGGAAAAGCATCACATTTCACCATGACAACGCTGGACACCGTCTGGCTTAGTGGAAACCTCAAACATCCTGAGAGTAGAACGAAAAATCTGACGTCTCGACTCAGTCCGGCAATCACCCTTAGTTTTTGTTTCGTTTATCACTTGAGGAATTTGAATTGCCGTTAATGTTTTTTCATGGAAAAGCTGAAAGCCAACTTAAGAACTTCTTTGAACTATAATCACGAAGCATTTGGAGAAGGTTAAAGGAAACAGGAGGAGTACACGGTGCTTTTTGATATGATTATGAACAGAGATTTTCTGAAGCTAGTACAAAGCAGGATGGTGTTTTAAAGTAGTGAATGATGAAACGGAACCAGACGATGCGAGATGTAGAGATTGACCTCAGGTAGACATAATCTCTTCACTTTATGACAGACAGAAAAACGGGTCGTAACCGCGAAATATGGATCGATCAAGCAGATAAGCGTACAATGGGTTGAAGAAATATAGAGGCCATTTCATTTGTCGGAGCAGTGTTACATGCTAAAATCGTAAAAGCTTTAAATACCCATCGAATCCCGAGTTTAAGGCAAAATAACACATCTGCGTGTTAATTTGAGTCAAATTGTCGCTTGATTGTGGCGCGTCTTATTGATCCACGAGCGCCACCGGTTACCGTATCAACTGAACCAGCCCATTCGACCCTCCCTCCAAATCCAACGTCATCCCAGTGTTCAGTAAATTTGTCAAACAAACCCGCTAATCTGCTGTTTTTGCTTTCGACCAATAAACAGCCTCGACTGAGCCCCCCCCCACACGCAGCGGCCCAATGAACGGTTGAACCTCCATCCCCTGCAGAGGTGTCGACAGACAGCAAGAATTACCAATTAGTTGCCTCGATGTGGGGTCTTAACATCATAATTGTCGAAAGAGATCAAGAAAACAGCATTCAGCATGACGGTTTGATACACCAAACTGAGTTTGAGACTGGGTTTTCTAGGGCTCATAAATTATGAAAGTGGTTGTGGGTAAACCACTACCAAAAAGCATTCACCGCACGTCGGAGCATCCACATACACACAAGTTTTTACCTTTTTTCCGGTACACCAGTGGTTTTACAACAAGAGGAACAAAAACTGCTTATGCGAAAATGCCTAATAATGGAAGTTGAGCCATGTAACCTCGGATGGCGCTTCCTACGTTTTTTGGTTACTAAAACATTAAAACAAGCCTTTTTGTCTGTTATGCATTTAATATTTGTGAAAATGCTTAAGGAAATCTTCTCAGAAATTGATGTTAAATTCTGGGAAATTAGTGCCCTCGATTTCGATGTAAATATTCTAGTCATCCTAGACTAAAGTGAATTTTTTTTCGCCTGGTCGCCCACTACAATGGCTACGGTTACAAATGCTGACATTTAGCAGAAGATTACTAAAAAAATTTACGATTTTTCCCATACCAAAACTCACCTGTTTACAACAATATTTCCATAATTAGTACGTCTTTTGGATCTCTCAAAAATTGTTACCGAAATTTTCATCTGATAGATCAGTTAGAATTGCTGTTTAGCTTCTAATCGTTTAAAAATTTGTTTTAATGAATTGAAATTAATGGAAATTCAAGCTGATTTTTTTCCCATTGGCAGTGAGATCTCATCTTTTTTCAATTATGCATGAGTTCCGGACCATTAAGCAGCCATTAGGCCAATCGCGCCATGACGTCTCACCTCACGAGGTTGGCAAGTTTCACTGGGGGGAAAAAATTTGCCGAACTCTTCCCCACTGGCACTTTAAACACGGCGTCGGAAGTCTACCTTGGAATTTTGTGATATTTACTCTCAAAATACTTTGTCGAAAATAACCCCAACTTTTTTGCACAAAAAAGAACTTTTTTTAGAGTCACAATGCAAAAAAAAGGAAGCCTTTTTCTTCACCGGGGTAGTGCTGGCTTCGGGAGCCATTTTGAATTTATCAGGCAACCTTTAAATCAGTTTTTCGTAATTTTTTTAATTTAAAAATTAAAATTAAACAATTAGTTGCAATGGAACTAATGCGGGTCAAAAATGCAAGACTGTTAAGGTGGTGTTTTATAACTCTAGGCTAAATTATCATGTCAAAATTGGTGCAATGAGGATTCACGGAAAATCATTCGTTTGCCATGTCATTAAGAATCAACATGACTGTTTTCTGACTCACTACTAAATTAAGGTAAAAAGGCACGAAGGCTGAAGCCGTATTGGCTTTTGATTCGTGATTAGATGTAGTAAAGAATGCAGAAACACACAGCCTATGGATAAACTGTTGATCTTTTCAGGGAAACATCGCAGTGGAAGAGGGTGGTGAATAGACATCACGAACAACTTATTACATGAAGAAATGTAAACTTGATTTGGCTGAAATTCGACGTTTGGGTTTTCGTGAAGCACTGCGCTATCGATCGTCGTTGGCCGCGTACGCGATGCTCACCTGCTGAAATCATGCTGCTCATTGGCTTGTCTGGCTTGCCATGGAGGCTCTTGATTGGCTGAATAACAAGCAATTTGGCTGCTGTGGAGTCTGGTAGATTTTTATTCTTCCTGCTGCAGAATAAATTTCCTTTGAACGAAATTTCGCCCGCTTTTACTCACTGAGGCTAAAGGTGAGCCAAATACTGCTTTTGGCCTTTTTATGATTCTCAATCTTCAACAAAACCCCAAGCATGAAACTCGTTTTCCGACAATATAAACATGTCCATAAATGCCAACATCTGGTGCTGTACCTCGCGTTACAGACAAGAATTCAACCAAGCCACCATCGCGTACAAAAACCCATGATTTTTATAACTTGCTAAATGCTTTTTTTTGGGGCTATGTCCTCAGTCTAATTGATTTCTCTCAGTAAGCATGATTCCTTTTAAAAACAATACAAGTAACTAATTTTAAATAATTGAAAAATCTCTTAAAAGCATTTGTTTTTGTTGGATGGATACGGATTCGTCAACACGGTGGATCATCCAAAATTCAAAAACCCGCCTTGGCTGAATTAAGTGTTTTTTTTTTTCAAAAGCACAGTTCTTTCTAATTGGGATTTTAGCGGCCTACAGGTTTGGTAATTTTTCAAGTTACTGTGACTTCAACAGAAACACCAGTAATCATATCGGTGACTAGCTGTCGGCACCAGGATCTCCCTTGAAATGTTTTTCATTATGCTCGAAATTATTCTGTGTTGCTGACCAATAAGTTCATTCAAATTTCGAAATATTCATGTCTCCTAGTGAATTTCTGACCAAATCTAGTAATCAGAATTGCGCTTTTTTTAAAATAGATGGTTATTTTCCCGTGTAGAGAGTTGTGCCTTGTTGGCAAATGGATGCAGGCTATACAATGAGTTAAAGAGGGTGCATCCTAATCTCATCACGACTAGCTGCCTCAACTTCCAAAAACAGCCAATTACAACGAGCAGCCAATAAGCGTCTGAAAAATGTCATTTAATTCCGCGACTTCGACTTCTCATCCTCAATCATGTGTGTTTTACCTTAACCACTTTTAAGGACAATGGCTTTCTCGAGCATCTTCAAGGGAGTTGCCGCCTCCGACGGCAGCGGAAAACAGACCTTTATGCAAAACACAACCAACTTCTTCTCCACCGTGCAAGCCAAAAGTGACAATCTGGTGACTACGTTGAAAAAGAAGACAGCAGACGCCGTCCAACAGCTAGGCAGCAGCCAACAGCACCAGCGGGAGGCCCGAGGCGACGGTGGCGACGTCGACGACGACAGTTCTGCCAGCGAATACGGCGATGGAGGGGATCCGGCGATGTACGCCGACGAGGCACCATTGGAGCGCAAGCTGTCCTCAGAAAGCATCGACTCCCTGCCTGAGGATGAGGCTAACAAATATCGATCAGACATTCGCCAGTTCGTCATGGCGATGCTTACGTGAGTTGACCTCGATTGGCAGTAGTATCTACGAACGGATTTCGTTAATTTACACGGTGTGATTTTTAGCTTGAGTTTGGTGAGGCAGGGGATTACTTAATGATTCCCGAAAATATATGCAAAAGCAGCTAAAAGAGTGTCCTTACAACCCTTAAAGTCGATGCCTCTTGAAGGCTTCCCTTGAATTTTAGGTTTGATCAAATTACAGCTTAAGTCTTCAGTCAAGTTTTCATTTGTGTTCACTTGTCTTACCAAAATTCTTAACTCCTGTGGATTTACTTGATACCTGAAGAAGTTGAAAACTAATATTTCGTTTCACTTCATCAACTTTGCAAGAAAATTAAGTGAAATAATTAAAATGTTCCTGGATGAAAAAAATTTCTACGGATGCATTACCGCGCACGCCTCAGTTCACGCCGATTTATGGCCATGCAAGCCATTAAATTCGCATCGTCTTAAATGGGCACAATTTCTGTTGGCAAAAAAAACACTCTTTTTCGATTAACTACACTTCATTTAGCGTTGTCATGGTGACTCATATTCCGATCAATTGTGTTCACCCGATTATTGCTGCCTTGGCGTAAAGCCCACGTTAAAGCAGATTTTTGATTGGCTGCCTCACCTGATGCGGAAAAGTGATTGGTTGGAGTCCAGTCATTCGATTTTTCCACGATTGTATCACGCTCATTTGAAATTTTTCTCTCGCCTCTTTTACCCACAAATAACCTCTTTCTATTTGAATCACCTTAATTTTTGAATTTCCTGAATTTTTTTTGTGAAATTTCATCGAGACGCGTTGCACTGTTCATCGATTCCCTTGTTGTAATCAGACTACTTGTGCAAGTCGCCTTTAATAATCAGGGTGTTGCAGTGAAGGTGATTAGGAAGAAAGCGCTTGGCGTGATTGAGGTGGTCAGAACATATTCCATCGTTGCTTTGGCGTTCGCCAAGTTTAAGGTCAAGGCAAAATCAACTGGCAAATCCACCTAATTACCTCCATTTTTGTAATTTCCGACTCCCGTGAGCCTGGCAAATTACGATGCCTAGTTATGCAAGCACGCTTGTATGAAAATTATGTTGATCTTTTACAAACAAATATCCACTTTAAACTCTCGCATGCCCTGAAACAAGTTGTTGTAGTAATCTGTGAGGTGAAGTTAACATGTGGTTCGTTATGGTAAGATTAGTGTGGACCTTAATATTTAAAGTTAAAGTAAAGTGCTTTAACTTGACAGAAACTAACTCACTTTTGGTTAAGGAGGTTCGAATCGGAATCATTCCAAGAGCAACGCGAACATGTAGAGAAGCAGCACTTGTCAGTTCAAGACCACATCTAACGGGGCGTCAAATATGCCGAAGTGTTCTACACCCTCCACCCACCACATGAAATTCAATAAAAGGTCTTAAGACAACTATCTAGCAGGAGGGTAAAACTAAAAGTGCAAACGGCTCAACTAAAACACCCAGAAGACCAAAAACGACATCACACTAAAGTTACTAGCGTGACCAACTGCTGCAGACTTAGTCGGAGTTGCCTAACACCAACGCAAGCTTTCGGCAACAGGTTTGTTGCTGCTGGGCCACCCGATCAATGCAAATATCTTTCCAAAGTCTCCTCCAGCTGGATATCGTTTAAACTACGCTGTTCCCAGGCACCCAATGACTGCACACCAAAGTAAGCTGTTTTCGCAGCTTCCTCACTTCCGCCTACATCTTTGACTCGCTTTTATCCTTCACTCCGAAAAGCTTACTTGCGTTTGGCCACGCCCTGCTAATGCGACAACAAAATTCCTAGGCTGCCATTAAACTACCTTTGAAACAATCGTACTTGATAAAAATTTCTAAAATGTCTATGATAGACTCATTATCGAATTTGGCGCAATTTCGTGCAGCCACCAAGCCTAGCTTGGTTGTCTTTTTCTTGCATAGTGGTTAGTCAAAGTGGATTAAAACCGGTCATCGATTTTGGACATTAACTCTAGAAATAGTGCAATTTCTACCAATAGAAATAGGATTTTAAGAGTAAAAAAATCTCTTTTGCTTAAAACTAAACTGTTTTTGTGTTGTGCATTTTAGAGAAGAGGGCGCGGAAGTTGTCACGAAAAACGCTGCCATCTTTGAAGGATACATTGAGGTGACTCACACTCTCTGTCACGCGCTTATTTACTTCCCCTGTACCGGAAGTGAATCGATTAAAACAATCATGCTTCGCTTAACCTCTTTTTTTTTCTCTTTTCAGCATCACACCGGGCGGTCAGCTTTCGCGAACGAACTTCGTAGACAGGTCAGTTAAAATACCACCTCTCACATTCACGATTGTTAGAAAATCTTGTGCTGTAAGACGTAAAAAAAAACTAGGAAAGACCAAAGCATTGCCAGTTTTTCCCATGCTTCGTCTTTAAGCAGATTTTTAGGGCACTTTCCAAGGCAACTTCATGAATTTCTAATCTGTTGACACTAAGGGCGTTGAAACGATAATACAGCACACACGCTTACTCGGCAACAATAAGTGTTACCTTTATTAAAATGTAATGTGCTAGTAGGAGTCTATTAGATTCCGTTCTCAAGGACATCTCACGTAAAGTACCGGATCTCAAAACGACGTGGTGATTGGGTTCACAGGTGTTCTACGAGGTCTTTGCAGAGTGATCAATCTTGGACAGCCCTCAGTCATTTAAATGTGATCAAAAAAGACTATGGTAAGAGGTAATTGCTGGTGGCTTGTAGAGAATCGATTATTTATTATCCGTGTGCCCGTCCCCTGGACCCTAGTGACCCTTTTTGTGTGTAACTTCTCTACTTCTGCAGGTGTCAGCAAATAATCGGGGTCACAATTAAGTAGATTAGTTATTCCGAAAAAAAATATTTTATTATCGACACTGCGTAAACAAGGCACGGTTCTCCATTGGTCATTTAGACCGAACAGATCAAGCAAGTGCCATCTTCCGTTCTGCGCCTGCTGACGTCATTTTGCAACTGCACGCTTGAAGTCTGCGGAAAAACTGACGACTTCGCGCCTGCCGCGTCCATCTTGAGTGTGGCATTCCGCATCTTTGAACAGAGTAAGTTACACGCAAGTTGGCAGTTCATGTCGGTGTAAAAGCATTTAGTCATGAAAGCCAAGCACTCTGAAATAGCGTGTCTGAGGATTTAAGATCGTTGTAAAACCACCAGCGACAACTGGGGCAACGAGAGTTCCTATTGCCAGTTTAGTGATTCTGGCGTAAGTTCCACATAATGACTGCCACAACTGGCGCCTTTCTAAACGTCTCTGCTCTCGTTTAAATGTGCCTTATGAAGACGAAACCGGTTACCTGTCTGCAGTAACAGTATGGCTCCTCCAATCTGCGCAATTCTTCATGGTGTTGCAGATGTCCCTACTCTTAGACGCACTGGTGAAATCCGATTGGTCAGACCCGTTTGCTGGTTCAATTCAGTTGGCGACCGACTGTTGATGATGATGACAAGATGTGCGTCCCTAAGAGATCGTTTCTCACTTTTAGGCAGAGAGCTGATTCCCATTGATAGTTTTTGATTGCTAACCAATCCCCTCGTTAGTGTTAAAATGATTTGAGTTTTTCCTTCACATCAAACGACAATTTTGTAGAATAAGTTATTGCGTACACGCAAACCTTACTAACAAACAGGGGACTGTAATTCCTGGGGTTCTAAAATCAAAATCGCGGCAACATAGTCTACCACACAACCAAATGGCAGAACTCGTTAGCTGATGCTTGACCTTACCATACGTGAATGAACTCTACTTCAGGAGTCGTAATTAATCCCTACAGAGACAGCTGATATCGCCAATGTCTTTTGAGCGATCCTGGTACGAAATCATTAAAAAACAATGTAAAATTGTGTTTATTCAGGAGTCTTGCAATTCTGTTGTGCTCTAATACAGAACTACGACGCTACGTGTACAAGACGTGCTATCGGATGAGCTATTTGACAAATCGACCGTTCAACCAATCACTGTCGCTTCTTTTCTAACTTCTCCCACGGAAAAAAAGCAATTTTACCACCAGTGGGTACTTGAACATGTTCCACTGCAAACACACACATTAGTAAAATCCTTTTCCGATATTTTAATATAAATACACAGATGCAGCCTATGCAAGACTACTTCAAATTCATGAACAATTACATGACATCCACCATCCTCGTTGCTTGATATAATTTAAGTTTGAGGTGGCTAAATTTCGCGTGTTTCAAAACTGGACCCATTGAATCACGTGTATTTTGGGCAACTTCACAGTTGCAAAATTGTCTGCTTCTAGTATTCAACCTCATCCAACACTTAAACAGTAAACCGTTTTTCGACGACAAATAACAATCAATCCCCCGACCACCATCAAATTACTCACCACTAGCATTGGGAAATTGTAGCTAACATCATAAAATGGTCGTATTCTGTGGTCGGCTTTCCACTTCACTCGCTTTTTTGATCTTCCACGTTTGCGTGTAGCTAGGATGTTGCAATTGTTGTTCTCAATGCAAAAAATCATTTGTACATCGTCATTGTGACCTTATTTTATGACCAGATAGCGATCGTCAGCCGCCTCTAAATGACGGATTCATTTGGCAAAACTTTGTGTAGAAGATTAATGATGCGTCTGAAAAAAATTGGCAAAGTTAGTTTTTTAATAAATAACTGTACCATGTCGGCCCGTGAGATAGGAAGTCAATTAGGCTAGAGAAGCGTTTGATAGCAAACCAGTTTCCGGGTTACCTAATTTTACCATTCTGTCCTTCATACTTGCACCTGGTTAGTCAAGCTCGCTAATTAAACAGCTGTTCGGGCAAACGCAATATGGCGGCGTACTGCCACGACATTTATCGATTTTCAAGCACCCTCCAATCACAGTTTCCTTATTTCAACGGGGTGTTTTTAGCATGCTCGGTGCTCAAATTTTCATAAAAAGTAGTAACGTGAAATTAAGACACAATCTTGCATCTCAAGCTATGCGCTTATTCCCTCATTGTCTGTGTTGCAGGGCAAATGGCTACCTCAAGATCACCAAAACAGACATTTTAAACGTTTATTCAATTTAACCACCAATTGTTAAAATGTTGAATGCTTTTTGCGCCCGCAGGACCTACCAGGCGGCAAATTTCCCGCAAAGCTCCTCTTTGCCATTTTCTTCATTGCAAAAATTTTGGATGCTGCCATTTAAAAACTGCCTAATTTTTTCGACATTTCACCAATTCAGTAACCGGATATATATTGAATTAATTAAACTTATAATTAATACTAAATAATACATGTCAGTCGCCATTTCTCCAACGGTAGTTAGGATAGTCAAGAGCGGTGTGTAGGTCAAGGTCACATCACTTAGCCCTGATTGGTTGAATAGATTCCAGCATGCCCATCGCTTACATGATTTTTGCTAGACAACCAACTAAAATTCATTTTTCGTATTAGGAAACTCGTGTTTCTTTCTTTGCCAGACGTTGATTCAGCGGGAAAAGTTGTACTCACCTACCTATACGAGGGTCTGCGAGACCAGGCACTTTGGCAATCGACGCGTTTCTGGAATGCAGCCATCTTCATTGCCCTCCGGGAGGAAAGATCCAACCGCCAAGTCGTTCCCAAGTAAGCTATCGTTGAAACTATTCACCACGTCATCGAGTACCAGATTAGAATCGCTCGTACGCCCGATTTATTCCCAAGGTGTTTCCGCGCACATGATTCCAATTTCCGAAGCGGCTGCTTCATCGTCGTTTTTGGTTTTTTGCTCTAGCAAATGCCACAGAGAGCCCTTAATTTACTCAGTTGTCTCAAGTTATTCTTACTCAGAATGCACTATTTTCATCTGCAGTAAAAACCAGGGAGCTTCAGGTGAATGGCTGGAAGGCTTTTCTTTGTAATGCTTAAAGTTTTGTCAATTTGGGTCGCACAAAAGCACGTCTTCTGACTAGTTCGCTTGCTTGACAAGGCCTGTCCAGGACTGAACTGGTTGATTTTCCTCTTTCAGTGACGGTGCAGCTGAAGACAGTCTGAACGCTGAAGCAGAACTCTACGACAGCATCGCCTACAATCAGCTCAGGTAGTCAGAACAACATCTCGCGTCTTAGTTGAGCCCGCGTTCACTAACGCAAATAAAAGTCAACCTTCTTTGTGCCTCCGGTAAAATGCCCAAGTAGCTGAAGTTAAGATTCTGATTTTTAGTTTCATTATTTATCACCGACGCAATTATACCAAATAAGGACGTTTTATTGGTTAATTTAAGGCCTGGGCAATAACAAATCGATTTTGTACATCGAATTTTGCACTGTTAACTTTAAAATAAGCTCTGAAAGTAAAAAAAATCAATAATGTATTTTTGTTTATCCCTATGATATTTGCCCGTCAAATGGCTTTTTCATTCATTGTTCGCAAGTGTAAAATTTGGGCATTTTAATTCTCGGTTTGTTTAAATGAGATTCGCAATCGATTACGCGAAATTTCGATTTCCTTCAGCAAATTCGCGTGGAGGATGTACTCCCTTGGTCTCAGCAAAGAGGCCTGTTTGGATTTTCTTCGAAAGCAAGTGGACGATACATCGCTCTCGAAAGGTAGCTCATTTTTTTCTCATCATGACAATTAGAGCAGGGTGCCTAAAGAGACACTAGAACGTTTCAGACCTCAGACATCCAGATTTCCACCTGTTTAAATTTTCTAAATTGTATTAACAGGCAGGTGTTTTTATTTGAATGTCCCATGTGTATTCTTTTTTTTAATTCTTAAAGAAAATCAGCGCACTTTACGAGCCAACGTTCTGCGCTTCTACTCCTCGGAGGCGTAGCATCAGCCTAGTATTCACGTCGCTCTCTCTCCCTCTCGCCCCAGAAGAGTATCTCTGTCATTCGTCCTATTGGATGTAACCTGCCTCGCATTCACTGCACTGACACCGAGTGCATTGGTGACTTTAACTCCTCTTCATCTTCCCCCTACCCTCTCACGCACCCATTCACGTCACACTTTTTCCGGTTAAGTGAGGCAACTCGAACACAATGTGAACCCACTCGCCGTTTTCTGCATGTTAGCGTCTTAGTGCGACTCTTTTAGTACAAAAAGGCAGAGCTACTTATGAGTTGGTAGATATTCTGTGAATACACCATGCTTCACTCCACAAAATCTCGCGCCTACGTCATTAAATCCCCTAACTGATGTGTGATATCATTTCGTCAGGGTACGTTCAGTAAGATCTCAACTCTTTCCGATCTACCACCGATTTTGGGTGGTTCCGCAAACCAAGAAAACATACTCATTGACTCGAGTTGCAGAAACAATTTGGCATTGCTGAAATTTTTCAGTTGGAGTCTCAACCATGAGGTTGTTGAGGCTCTTTACCGCACCAAGTAACCCAGGAAGAAAACGAGCCCGAAGATGGCAGGCACGACCGTTTACTTGACACCTCAAAAAAGTTGTGTATGTGTGTGCACTCATACAGTTGAGTGGACAAAGGCGTCTGTGAGGTCACATGACCAAAGCGGGTGGTGGTGATGGTACCTGAAGGGGGCTAATGGACCAGCGGCCTCACGTGACTGACGGGCACGCCGTGCAAGGGGGACGTGTGCTGAAGCTGCGACGACTGGATTATTGGACGTGAATCAACACCATTCACTCCAAGGTCATCCCATGTTGATGTAAGACAAGGCAGAAAGCTTTTAATATCTCAGGCGAAGGCCGGGGGATCTGTCAGACTTTGCCACAATGACCTTGACCCGATGGATGGAGCTGTCGGTAGGATGCCGTGAGTGACTCACCCACTGAAGTGGCGTGGTTAGGGGAGCAGTCCTGTGGAATGCCTGACCCCCAACACACAGTTGTTTCCCCTCACAGCGTTATCCACTCCTTTCTGTGGCTCAGGCGTCATTTTTAGTCACTTACAAGCGTGTCTGTGTTGCATCGTATCATTGGTACACAAGTCACTAATTACCGAAATTTGTGCCTTTCCCAATTATGAATGTAATAGTCGAGGTAATTAACTGGTCTTCCGTTTGACGTTCTAAATACAGTTATTCATAGTACAGCTTATTGATTACCAATGCTAGTCGTGTTTGCACCAGTCACGTGGTAATCTTGATTCATCCGTTGCAGCATTTCTGGTTTTTACGTATTTCGCAAATCACTGTAATTAGGTATTTGCTGCTTTCTTTACGTAGTTTCATTCAAATCCTTTAAGTGGTGTCGAAAATTTGCCTCAAACGCCTTCACAAAGCGCAACCAAGCAAATTTTCTTGTCACGTGATCCTGAAATTTGCAATGTACCTGATTTCTTTCATCCAGATTCCACGATACTACTCTACTCAAAATTAATAAGGAAATTGTCTTAGATATTATAAAATAAAGTACATACATGAGATTCTTTATTTGAAAGAATTAAAATATCTTTTAAATCAGGTTATTTTCCTCCAATCAGCACTATTTGTTTGACATGAGATTATTCTGCCTCACTTTTACTTCTAAAAGGTTAAAATTTTCCTGAACTGACATGTTTAATTACGTATAAGTAGTATTAAAGTTTAAACGAGTGGACAGTCTAATGTCGTGTAATGGAATATCAGAGAACGCAAATTGGGTCTGTTAACGGATTAATCTGGCGTCAACGTTGATTGGCTGCTGTTGTCAACCAATAAGCACACTCTCACGATGACACACTTTGCTGACCTGATACTAATAAGTCGTGAAGTCCGCTGTCGCCTGTCTTTTCTCTGTCCTTGGGGTTTTACGGGGAAATCGGATCAAGAAAATCAATATCTTCAGTAGCATCATGTGTCGGTAGCCGTACAACTACAAGTGAACACACTGGGAGTGTGGAAATGTTCCTCAATTTGCAAACAACACACCAAAACGTTTGAATTGCGCGAACAGGAGTTTGCTGCTAATGGGTCATTCAATTTGGGTTGCCTGCAGTACCTCACAAACAAGTTAGTTAACAGACCGTAACAGTAACAAGATGACAGTGTCTAATCGCCAGACCAGCGAATTGTCTTTTTATGCCGGTCCATGAACATGATTATTGATTTTTGTAGTCACTACAGCCTCCTCCAAGATTCTAGAGTCAGATATGTTTTTGGATTCTGATTGGTGGGTAACATAACCCATACGACCGACTACTTGAATAGGTGGGTTAAGTGTGTGGCAATCGCATCGCTTGTCAACACCCAAATAAGACGACGAGTAGGCGACAAAGCTGTTGAGTCGTGATATTTGGATGTACGCGCATGAGTAAACTTGTTTATAAAGCGCTTGCTAATAGAGACCAATAAAAGCAGGGTGTGAGACACAACTACCAATCAAATTGCCGTAGACGTTTTTGAACATGTCACCAGGTTTGCTCAGAATACATCAACTTAGTCTCCACCAGTGCAACATTACTATTGAACTAATGCTCAAACGCATAATGCTTTTACAGCATTCGGTTAGAACCATCCGTTTTTCTGCGGATTTGCACGCGTGTTGTACTGCTGCAACAATTTTACTGGATAGCTGTTTGAGCGCGCGTTTTGCAGTAGCCAATAATCCGGCCGCGCGCTGTGACAGCATATAAAACCATCGCTTGAATCGTTGTGTTTGATTAAAAAATTGGTGTAGTTTACGCGAAGTCATCCAGCCATATATCCCTCTAGGGAAGCTTTGGTCACTTCACAAAATGTACAGATAACAAAAATCACATCTACGTTTAATTTGAATAGCAAGTATAGTGATAAAAGCGGGGCTGCTAATACATTTCACGTGATGCTAGCTTAAAAAGCTAAGTGAATTTAATGATGCTAATTTAATTACCTAAATACAATTGAAATGAGATCGGCCATCATTGAAAGTGCAAGTTTCGCAGCCAATAGCATTTATTTGTTTGTTTTTGTGCCAACCTTCATAATGGCGCATTATTTTAAACAACTAACCTGGAGAACATTTCGCATCAAGCATTATGGTAGGTGCGCACTTGATGCGGCTTTTTTAAGCACCTATTCTGATTAAATCTTAAAAAAAGGATTCATTGTTTTAATCGCGTGGGTTAGGGGTGGTTTGATTAAAAAAGTTTTTTTCAAACATTTGCAACCTTTACACACGCAGCAACAGAACGCATATTTTACTAAGTCGGCGAGTGCTTTGTGCTTTGCATACAACATTCCGCAGGCAGCGCGGATTTTGTACTGAAATTGTACAACAATCATGTTCTATCAGTAACAACCAGATTTGTTAAAATAGCCAAAATCGCGATAATTCGCAAATTGGGTTTGTACATTCAACTTGAATTCCTGTGTCAGCCAATACCTGGCAGACGTCTGTCGTGTCAACGAATGCCTACAAACCTAGAGTTGGAGAAAATCATCAGCGTTTGAAAAGCATTTTGTCTGTATGCTGATTAGGATAATTCTCTAAAAACTGACTTCCTGTTTGAGGCACTTAGCCAATTAGCGACTGGTGCTTTGACCAGTGTTATCATGATAAGGTGATGACAGAATAATGTGATTCATTACCAAGCGAGCATGCACTGCTGCAAAGCCCAGTACAAGCGAAATTCCATCTCACATTCATGTACACCAGAATAAATTGTTTTGAATACTTGAATTTCTGTGTAAGATGTGAAAATAAATCCATCTTTCACTAGTGACTACAAAGATACTCGAGTCTAGGAAGCAAAAAAATCATGTATTATTTCGACCACTGAAAAGATTTCACTTATCATGTCGTAGTTCCAAGCAAGTGTGTCCTAGTATCAATGATAAAAAATCAATAAATGGAAATCGAGACTGTAGAACATGTCTAAATCGCCACAACGGTTTTTGTTTAAGGCGGAGCGCCTAGAGTTCACGCAGACGGCGATCACCGACATGGCTCTTGAATTGGTGGGGAAACGACTAGTTTTGGGATTGATGGCCTCGTGATTGCCGAATAGTGGAATGGGACGGCAAACTGGGCTCCACTTCTAGTTTCCGATTTCCATCTTTTGTTCGGCAAGAACCATTAGGAGGAAGCAGAATGTGAATATGGCTCCTATCAGATAGGTTTGAAGTCCACAAAGATGCAAGTAGAGGAAGCTTCAGCGACCGTTAGACGTTTTTTTTCCAAAACGCCACACTTGGGCTTTTCTCACAATTCAACAAAATTCTACTTTTCCATGTATAAGATTACAAAAGCACACAGTGGCCACCAGTTGTGCCCCCACGTTCTGGCAACGCCGTCGTCGCCAATGCCTTCCTCTATTTTTTGGTCTAACTTTGACTCACATGCACCAAATCCTCGTTTGTTTGTTTGTTTGTTTATGGCCATAAATTATAGAGAGCAAGAAGCTATTGTGGGCCCAGCATGCGGTCATGAACCAAGCCGGGGCCACGGAATTAACCCTGGACCGATTACGTTTCTCTGATATCCGCGATGAAGGAAAAGATCGGAGAGGATGTGGACACAACCGTTCACTTCAGAGACCAACCACGTTGATGTCGTGTGTGGGGTTTGCGCGTGTGTATTTCCACCTCGGATGTGTGAGTCACACATGCGCTACCATCGAGACCTAGGTGTAAGATAATTGAAGATAAATATTCGTGTGAATGAATGGGGAGTTGAGGGTCAGCGCGGCTAGCGACATGCTGCGGCAAGGGGAACCCTGTGTCGGGGGTGGAGCGACCGGATTAAGGGGTGTGAATTAACACGATTCACAATGAAGCACGCACCTGTTTCCCACTTCCTTGATCCTCACTTTGACGAACAGGCCTCATTAAATCACAAATAACCAAATGTCTCCATTCAATTTACGGATTCCTTCTGTTACCCAGTCTTAGGGTCAGTTTTGTG